TGTCGGACATGATTGAAATTCATTTTTAAGGCCCACTTGTCAAGAAAAAAAAATGAACATTCGACCATCACCATTTCTGACTGGCTTGTTTCAACCTGGAAAAGGAGATATGTACATACATATACAGCATGTACCGTATGAGTGCTACAGCTGGTTTCCACAGAGCGTGAGTATGATGTATTTTATTTCAATGGTTTATATTTTTCTCATGTTACTGGATAAATATCGATTGTGAAATGCTCTCTTGCAGTGAACAGGTTTGGAGTTGTTTGGAGTTGATATGTCGGATGAAGCCCCCTCGCTGCCCACCTTTAAAACTCGTCGCAAAACTCATTTGTATTCGATGGCATTTGACACGGCATGACTCAGACTTGATCTTAGTCTACTGTTTGGTGCTTTCTACTGTCTCGGTTATTAACTTGTTGTTTTATTGTTGTATATCTGATATTTGCTCTATGTACAGCACTTTGTATACAGCGATGGTTGTTTTAAAGTGCTCTATAAATACAGTTGAGTTGCGATAAATGTTTTTCTTGCATTAGTAATAATGGTATTCATCCTCAAATATGTGAAATGCCTCTGTCTCTTCTTTAATGTCATGCATCGTAATATTGCAATGTTTGTACTTTATTTTATGACCTGATAGTGTTGGATTAGGTCACTTAAGGCTCAAGTCCAAAACTCACTGCCTTTCACTGTTCCAAAGATGAGTGTTTACGTCTCTACTTTTTCATCTGGTCCTCATTTCTTGAACGTGACATTCATTCTTAGTCTGTAATGAAATACATTTTAGCTTAACTTTCATGATTTTAAATTATCTTCACAAACCAGACGTGGGCATGATAGGAATAATAACAATAATAATAATAATAATAATAATAATAATACATATTTATTTAACTGGGACAATGCCATCAAACATACCTGTAGCTTGCTGCTGATCTGATGCATATGGAGGTTATAGCTAATGCTAATTCTCAACTCCAATCCCGGTCGGGCTCTTCAATCCAGACTGACGGAAGGTCCGTGAGTCTGTCACAGAAAGATGCCCATTTTGCTGACGATTGACGAATGACGGGAAACTAAAATGAAAAACAGACTAAACACTGACGGAAGTGGGTTTTCATCTGTCAGTGCAATCTTCACAAATCAAGTACCGACGGACCTCCTTCATAAGGAGAACTGCATTGACTATATATGAAGCAGATAAGTCACTTCACTTTCTTGTCACAACCAACATTTTTGTTTGAGTCTAAAATGTTATGTATGTGTATGAATTTGGATATAAACCTTTATGGTTGTGCAACTATAAGTCTTGGTGTCATTATTTTAAGACAGTCTCGTGTGTTTGTGTGCGAGGATGAATTGAACATGAGCAGGGCTGCTTCCATTGACTATACCTGTATCAGGAAACCCTTTGCGCTTCCTGTACAGTGGGTGACGGTATGCACCAAAGAGCTGGAATCAGCCAATGAACCAAGAAGAAGTAGGAGAAGCAGACGACAAGCATTTAAAGACACAAGTAGATGTGCAAGCTACTTGGAATGAATTTTACCCTTGACCACAATGCGAAACTGGATTCTAGTTATGGTAAGCCATCTTAAATGAAAACGTTTAGGTGTTTTAGAATTTCAAACAGCTGCAGGCATCCACAAGTTCAAAAGACTGGCAAATAAGTGTATGTGAAATGTATGTGTGTTTTGTCTGTGTTTGGGTAGCCACTGTATGATGTGGATGCACTGATAGATAGTGCACTTCATTTACCACTTTAATCGCAAATAACATTGGATTTTTTTTTTTTGTCTGGTGGATTATGACATGTTTTTTTGGGGTTGGGGGGGAGGAGGGGTGGAGAGACTGACTGGAGGACTGGTGGAATTTACTGACGGCAGTGGATGACAGAAGCATGGTTAAAATAATATGATTGACTGACAGACTGCCGATTACAGTTTGGTTCTGCTTGAAAAAATCTTAGACTGATGATGATGATGGACTGGCAAAATTTTGTAAAATGTCCCCTTCCGCTTTATTCAATTATTCAATTACCTATTGTGATTTTTTTAAGGGGGGTGGAGTCATTCAAAATTCTAGCAACCCAAAGATGCAATAGCCTTCTCAAAGAAATTATGTTTGAGCTCAGAGGGTCTACTGTCCAGTGGTACCTTGACTTACACGTTTAATTGGTTATGTGATCAAGCCCATAACTTTTTTTTAGATTTCAAATCGATATTCCTGATTAAAATAATTTGAAATTAATTGGTTTCAAGCCCACAAACAACAACACACTTTTTTTTCTTTCGATGATGTGTTTTTAATGAAGAAAAGTAGTGCTGCATTGTATAACAATGTTGGGACTTGCAGTGTGACAGCAACAACAGCTGTCGTGTTGTATTCGTGCCTTTAAGGAGCGTTGCCTACTGAGTGATGTGCTTTTATGCATCATGTGAACTGCTGGATGGGAGTTTTGGCCTACTGTAGCTCTTTGCTAGTTTTCACATTTTGTATTTGTGCCTTTGATATTTTGGACTGTTCAATAAACGTCTGAAAGTGCATCGATGACTACAGTATTGCCCTACTTTTTTTTTTTTTTAACCTCACTTGAGCAGGAGTGTATTACAGCCGGCTCATTCCTAAAATTTGGCTCATTTAAAAAAAAAAAAAAGATTTCAACCAAGCTACGGCTCATAACTTGAAAAGCTCCTAAATTGGGGTACTGGTATGTCATTTAAATTCAGTATTTCATTTAAATTCTGACATGGTACCTTTTCCCAACCTGCAGAAGAGGTTGAATGAATTACGCACCCCTACAGTATAGACAGAAACAGGTCCCAAATCTCGAATGTGCTCAATATTCAAACCAAGAGTACCCTAAGGCATGCAAACTCATTCACTAGAAGAAGCCATGATCAATGTAAACACGAAGAAAAAGGCACAGTGGGCTGAAATATGGTGATCGACTTTCGTAGTTGTGCTAATATAAGAGCCGAGTCCATCCTTCTTGGCACGGCGACTGTCTGCGGGGGTTTATTGGCTTGTACTTGCCCAATTCCATCACTCATGTAAATGACTTTGATTAATCGTCCGAGTGCTCGAATGTGCAGGTGATGCAAGCAACATGCACACAAAAAGCCAATTTTACAGCAAATATGACTTGTTCACACTGCTGTTGTATCTCCATCATCCCTGTGCCTGTCATGTTCACGACCAACTGCTGCCAGGGATGGACTGAAACGAAAAAATCGGCCCGGCACTTTTGGTTGAGACCAGCCCATCATTTGTGATTTATGTATGTGTTACCTGAAGGACAGTATTTTTCGATGATGCTGGCCTGGCTGGTTGGACTTGACAGTTATAGTTACATTTTATAAAGTGATCAATTAAAACTCTTGAGCAATGGCTTAGTATCACTATTATTCAGTAATATTAATTGATTGCCATTGCTGATGTCAGGTAATAGAAACTTGCTGATGTTATGTAACGGAAACCAGCTAACGTTAACTTCATAGCCTCAGAGTCCCCGTCTTACTCAAATCTTACAACCTGCTAACACTTTCCCACTCACTCTGTCCTGCGCTTTCAAAAGCCCGCATTGTCTGTGGGTGTTCCTCTACCTGCCCGCTGCTGCCTCAAGCCTTCGGCTGTCCATCCGGCAGTTGCTGCAGGTAGAGCCTTGCCGTCACAACAGTGCAGTCCATCTTGCGAATGTATCTGTGATTTTTGCTCATTTTGCAGCATCTCAAATAAGATTCTTCAATTTCTTTGCACTCTTTCTCAACTTTGGTTTGTCTTTTACAACATACATTCGATACACGCTCTGATTGTGAAACGAACACCAGGAGTGACACCGTAAATATTCTATATCCTGACTGGTTCAGTGTACCGTTTATGCTGAAGTTGAGCCGGTGGATCACCCGCTCTAAAGGTAGAGGTTCAGCAGGTTTTGTCGGCTACTACAGTATATGTTGACTGCTTCAGTGTACTGTCTATACTGTAAACGTATTAATGTGCCAGGCTCTCTAAATTCTAGGTCGGTATCTTGGGGATAAAAGAAAGGAGAACAAAAATAAATCAATAGCACCGCATCAGCCCAAAAAGATGGCAGCCAAGCGGGCATTCGCCTGCAGTGCCTGATAGCCAGTCCAGCCCTGACTGCCGCTGTCTCCTTTCTGCCACATGGAACATTTTTGCCCCGAAAAGAAGTATTGATTATCATCCCAACATTGTTGTCAAATTATTACATTGGTTTTAGAAAGTACAAAGAAGTACACTTCAGATTTGATTTGGGTATAAAAACGGATTGTCATAAGCAGATAACTTAATAAAAAAAATTGGTAAAACTGTCTTATAAATCTGTTTAGGGCACAGTTTCCCCCGTGGCATATATGACAACAGCAGATTAGGAAATTAGATTGCATCCGTGCATAGGAAGACGGAGTATGGGAAGAGGGTCAAATGCTGTCATGGGAGACCACTGCTCACTTCCGTCTGTGAGTCAGCCCCGTACACTCAAGGGCATCGCAAATGAATCTGTTGGATGTATAAATAGATACTTCACAAGAAAAGAATGTCGAGAGAGGGGAAAAAAAGTCAATAGAATCCCTTTTTATTGAGGCACCTTCAGTGTGTTACCATGGTGTATGTTTGTTGAAAAGAAAACACACAACCGTGGTGAGTTAGCCACCCGGGCCATGCTTTTAGTGGACACTCAGTGAAGCCAGAAAGGCGGGCCAGGTCTTCGCAATGACCAAGATGAATGATATCCTTTCCGCAGAGGATGGAGGCTTGTAACAATGCGCAGTGATGTGTGCCCTCATAAAGAGGACGGTCACAGCAATGACACTGGACTGCAATGATGAAGTGGAGAATGTCCCGTTCCTCCCCCCACAATACTTCTCTCGCAACCTTTAAATTCGCATGCCTCACAGTGTTGTCAAAGAGTGTGCCACACAGAGGTTCCACGTGGTCGGGCACACAAGGATCTGTGCTAGTGGGACACTTACAGCCAAATGTTGAATCTTGAAGGAGTAGCTGGAGGTCACAGTGGAAAAAGCTGCCAGTCTGATATCCTGCAAAGGAAAGACTGTGTGAACTCAAACAAGCACATTCACGTTGAATTAAAACGAGCAGTTTTATGTTAAAATTTACATACAGTATACGCATGCATAGATATCACTCAAATGTCTTTCAATTTACTGCTGAAGTAATCCAAATGTCCAAAAAAAAAGGGGGGCTAAATATTGGTTTCTGCTCTGTCACCCTCGAAAAAACAAAGCCATGGATCACAAAGCTACAAGGGCAAGTAAGTTAGTGCTGACTGCGATCAATTCCAGTGCTTTCCGCAGTTAGTCAATTGATTTCATGTTAATGCAATCTTATCGAGTTCAGTGGACCTCGCATATCCACAATTTGGCATTTGCGAATTCACTTTTTCACAGAATTTGCTTGAACACATTACATTCTTCTCAGACGATAAAAAGTGGTAAAGCGCTGGTCGATCAAAAGCCTCTAATTGACACAATAAACGGTTACTGCAGGTTATAATAACACCCTCAAAAAAAACATCAAACTCATTTTTCGCCGAAAGAACACACACACACACGCACACACACACACACACACACACACACACACACACACACACGACACACACACACATTAGTTGCACTCGCTGCTCAGCCCCCAACTCACTCTTCCAATCACAAAGCTAACAGCGGCAGGTCAATTTATAATTGGATGTGCACGACAGTCAGAGAAGAGGTAAGATGGTGGCACCCATTTTGGCTACAGAGTTGTTTTGCCTTACAGTACGTTAGCTTTGCCAAAGTACGACTAAACATGGCTTCAAAATCAGCGGAATCCGTAACAACTGCTGCATGGGAACATCGTTTAACATATCTACAACTGCAAATTTGTGTTGACACTGCATGGTCCCAGCAGTCTTTACAGCGCTAACCATTTCACACAACCTCAGACTGTTACGTTGGTTGGACCACCGGTTAGCGCGTCGGCCTCTCGGTGCAGAGGTCATGGTTAAATACCGGCTCCGGCCTCCCTGTGTGGAGTTTGCATGTTTTCCCCGTGCCTGCATGGGTTTTCTCCGGGTACTCCGGTTTCCTCCCACATTCCAAGAACATGCACGGCAAGCTGATTGAACACTCTAAATTGTCCCTCGGTGTGACTGTGACTGCGAATGGTTGTATGTCTGTGTGTGCCCTGCGATTGGCTGGCAACCGGTTCAGGGTGTCTCCAGCCTACTACCCGAAGACAGCTGGGATAGGCTCCAGCACGCCCCGCGACCCTTGTGAGGATAAGCAGATCAGAAAATGGATGGATGGATATTTCAACTAGAGGTGATATCCTCTCCTCCTTCAGGATTACCAGGAAGAATATCCCCAAAATGTTGCATAGAAAAGAAAGTGTTAACATTAATGACAGAGGGGCATTTGCTGTATCTTGTAAACATATTGTATTTTAAACTGCACGAGTGTGAGTTTTGTTCATATTTCATCAAGTGTAGCTCACCAGACCACTATATCACACGTCATGTCTTGTAAGATGCCAACAACATGATGTCAAAGTGACCAGAGGCTATCTACAGTGTTCTTAAATGTGATTGCTTGTAACCGTTGGCTGCCAGGAGAGGAAATAATGTTTTATGATGAGCCCCATTCAACTGTTCCTCTGCAGAACCTTGGCCCTATTTTTTATGTCGGTAAACCGTCAATTTCATGACTCACTGGGCTTAATTGCTTCATTGTAATTGTCACTTGAAATACATCCAAGGCGGGAGATAAGTAAGTTCAATTTGTGCATGCCAAGACAAAGCATCAGTTTGCACGATTGAAAACAACCAACTGCCTGAAAAATGTTTATCTGTTTCATCTGCTGTGTTTCTTTGTCTGATACCAAAGGGTGTCACAGATGCAGTGGTCGCAAAAACAAAACAAAAAACAATGAAGAAAATGTCCAACTCCGGGAAAGCATTAAAGTATGGAAAAAAATGTTGCACTGATACCTTTTTTTAAGTAGACATATAGTCTAATTAGAAAATATACTTGGATTCAGATGATTTTATTTTGTGCAGCCACTTGACAAAATAAAATTGAGTAGATTCAACCCACATTTCTTTGAGGGTAGGCCTATAGCATACACTGTAGCTATGACAGAAAAAAGAAGGCGGAGCTGACAAAACCAAGTAAAGTCACTTATGACATCATGAAAATCATACCAAACCTAGCAACTGCTGTAATACTGTCATGTTCTGCTCTGCTTAGTTTTCGTTTTGTTTTCAGCACTAGCTGAAGTGTTGGGCGTGACCCTTCAGCCCCTGTGTCTCGTCTCCCAATCAAGCTCCAGGGCTGAAAAGTCTTCAGTTCGTGTCGGATTATTGACCTTGTTTGTTGTTCATGCTCAAGTGCTATTTTTTCGACCTCATGTTCTTGCTCATAGTTGCTTTTTTTCCCCTCAATAGATTTTGTTTCTTGTGAGTACAGTATATTGTCAAGTCATTTTTTTACTAGTTTTACTTTTGTGTGTTTGGACTATCGTCATTTAGTTTTGTGGGTTTTCGGTTACCAACTTTACATTGTCGTTTGCAGGCGCTTTTTGTTCTCATTTGGTTTTCCTGGCTTTTTGTCGCCGGTGATTTCTGTTTATACTTTATTGGTCTTTGAGTTTTCTTGAAATATTTTCGTCGCCATTTATCTGAGTCTGCCTTTTTGGGATCCACTGTCCTTGTCAAAAACGAAATGAGTAATGGACAGTCCAAAGTAGAATTATTGTGTAAGAGAGAGAGAGAGAGAGAGAGAGAGAGAGAGAGAGAGAGAGAGAGAGAGAGAGAGAACAACATAAGATGGAGGCAAATTAGCTTCTGGAAGAATTGCAGCTGCATGATAACTTCACTGTGATCACCGGGGGTTGTGGGGGGGAAAAAAAAAAACTACACAACAATCTATTTATAGAGCATGAGCGCAATAGAGAGAAGCGGGCAGGGGCATTGTCATTTGATATTGCGGCATCTTTTCTGATAGTGGACACAGGTCGCAATAGTCTGCGAGTAGATAAAATGACAGTAGAAACAAAAGGTAATGATCCTCAGGGGATCCTGCTGAGGCTGATAGCGGTTCCAATGGACTGTTCTTTTTTTTCCATAGAGGTTATGGAAAATAACATCACCATACAGACTTTAGACAGGTGTGGCTCCTACATGTGACATAGCCACAGTCGTTTGCATCCATCTGGGCATCAGCTGTGACAGCAGTTTTACACTGCAACACTCTTAAAATGAGAATGAGTGATGCTTTTTTTTTTAAATCAAAATGTGAAACCAAAAAAAAAAACTGATTTCAAACAAGATTGTTCTTCACCAAGTGAAACAACCATGAACAAAACACGACAGATTTTGTATTTGTCATGTACAGTATACTAATAAACCTACTTTACAAAATGAAGAAGACACAAATCACCTGATGAGGACAAATGTAAGGTCAAAAGCATGCCTTGGAAGATCGTAAATTGGCTTCATGACAGGGTCTGATTTGGTGATTCTGAGATACAATCAGGTGAAATGGAATTGGTCAGTTCGCATAATTGGATCGTTCTCCTACCTATTTGCGGTGCCAAAGGCCCGAGCAATTTACTGGAGAAACCAAATGAAATTTAATGAAGGCTCTTGATCGCCATTACGAGTCCTTGTGTGAACCACTCCAAATGAACACTGTTGAGCTAAAACGCAAGGTCAGGACAGGTAGGTGTAAAACAACTCATCCACGTATAAAATCCTTGTTGATTAATTATCAAAGGGTGTCTGGTCGAGAAGATATCAGGTCATTTTCCAATAATCCAACACAAAATCAGACCCCTAATCTTCGGTGGTTTGTAGGTCAGCTGGTGATAAATGGTGTGTGCATTTTGATTTCAGGTATCAGAGATAGCAGCTCAGTCATTGCCTTGGCAATGCCAGATCAACTGCCCACAACCAACGGGCCGTGGACTGATAGCGGCCCGTGAGTCATTAGTCACCGGGTCGCACCGAGAGACTGAACATAAACATATTATTGCTCATCGGAGTCTGAAAGCAGTTTTATTTTGGAAAAATCTGGTGCACCCACCTGGTCCTCTGTACGGATGTCAAACCGCTCATCTCAGTCACATGATACGATACGAAAATATGGAAGCACATAGGCCAGTAAAAATAAACATCTTTGGAAAGCTTTCTATGAAAAGGGGAGAAAGCCAAATGATGAGAAAAACCTCCTACATCTGACTTTAAAAAAAGATGATACCGGCTCACTGAAGACAAACACGCGCAGGGTCCCACTAATTACAACTACTACTCCTACTGGTGAGTTGTACTTTTATTTTTTTTTTTTGTTCTTATTTGTTTCTATGTCAGCGGGTCTATCATACTGATGGACCAGCCCTGTTTGTGCTGCGTTAGCACAAATGTCACATGTGACGTTACTGTAGAGTGTTAATCATGATCCTACCCACTATTTCAGTGGTGCACTTCCCATTGTCCCATATTTATTACACTAGCCAAAAGAATGATATGAGTCAGTGGCACAAAAATTACTCCTTCAATAACATTATTTGGTTCATTCATTACCTAAAGATCCAACTCTCCTCCAGTCACTGCAGGCCATTTACTGTCCTGGTGGCAGCTGAAAACATCCATTCATCCATTTTCCGATCCGCTTTATCCTCACAAGGGTCGCGGGGGGTGCTGGAGCCTATCCCAGCTGTCTTCCGGCAGTAGGCGGGGGACACCCTGAACTGGTTGCCAGGCAATCGCAGGGCACACACAGAAAAACAACCATCCGCGCTCATATTCACACAAAGGAACGATTTCGAGTGTTCAATCAGCCTGCCATGCACGTTTTTGGAATGTGGGAGGAAACTGGAGTACCCATAGAAAACCCACGGGGAGAACATGCAAACTCCGCACAGGGAGGCCAGAACCGGGATCGAACCCACAACCTCTGCACTGTGAGGTCGACGCGCTAACTACTCGCCGACCGGGCTGGCAGCTGAAAACAGATGCAGTCAAATATTTGGACAAGAACTG